TGGGCAAATTTAGAGAGTTGAGACTGATGTTCATCACATTCTCCACATACTTCCTTACAAATTTGCCGACATAATTTTACAAACTACAAACTTATCTGGTGTGCATATGAGGGAAGAAACGGTTCAATGCTGCTAAAGGAGCAACTACTGCCTCTTCAAAAAACACTATTATCATCCGGAACGTTATTAGGTCAAAACTTAGGAAGTCCCGATTCACAATTCCCATCGACCAGACATAATAATATATCTCAAAACCACACTATATATATACTCATTCATTCATTCATTCCTGCATTGTGATAACAAATGATTCGACAAGTATACTTTCAACGGCGGGCCCTTTGTGGACAGTTCTATACTATCCCCAAGCTGCACAGAGTGCACCACATGAGAGCCATCAATGTACAACAAACCTTTCTTACAAAACCACGAGATGTCCATACTATCATTCGACTTCACAAACCCATGCACTGAATTTTTGTTTGTCCCTGGAGAAATCGGCTCCCTCACCATATACTGAAGATCCTTAGACAAAATCGGCATTATTGATCCACCGCACGAGTGGATTGCAGCCGTTGATCCAGCGGCTGTCGAGACCCTTAAGCCACTTGATCTACTGTGCTGTAAGGATGAGAAAGGCTCCCCGTTTTTCTTAATCCTATCAAGGCAAGATAATACATGAAAAGAAAGTAGGCAAAAAAGATTGTGGTAGAGCATACTCAAAATCTAACACTCAACTTTAACCCAACTCCACTATCCTCAATATTATCAATATAATTAAATAATACAAACCGATCATTCTTCCACATCACATCAATTTTAATTCATTATTCATCCACTCACATAATTTTAACTAACTATCACTTCACATCATTTCTCTCCTACTTTTACATTAAACCAACTTTAATTGTTTTATTTTAAATATTATTTTAATACAAAAGTAAAATCCCACTAACAACTAACTATCCAACTTTTTCAAAATTAACTTGGTTAATCGAAAAAACTCATCTTGAACAGATTTATTTGTAAACAAGCCCTTTGGGAAACATGAGAAACTTTAACTCGTACCTGAATGAGAATCTAGAAACTGTTGCGGGGCATGGATGAGCAAGTAGAATATCGTTTAGAGCCAAAGTTGAGATGGGTTTCGAGTTTATAGTAATAGCCATCCTTGCTAATTCAGATGGTTCTTCGCGATTCGCAAGGATCCCATCTAACATCTGTAAAAAGAAACACAGAAATTTGTATCAGATGGAGCTAAAAAATATAGTTATAAGCATATTCAAGGTGATTTATATGGATAAGTCATAAGTTCTTGTTGACAATGGATTCACTCAAACAGTGAAAATAATCACTCTACATCAGGGTATAATCAAATTTCACACTTCTCTTTTTGAATTTCACTTCGGGAACTGATAAGTAAGGAATAAAGACGGATCACGGATGGATGGTTTTAAGCGGCAGTTTTACATGTTCAAAGTTGTCGACTGTGGCAGCACAAAGGTAGCCCGTGCTTCTCGTGGCATCGAATTCTTCGCTTAGTTCCGCCACCTAAGCAAATAAAATAACCACCGGTAAATCACTAGATTGTAACACCATCTGATGTTAAAATAAATAAATAAATAAAAAAGAAAGAAAGAAAGAAAGAAAGAAATTATAGCACAATTGTAAAAAAATAACCAAAAAACTTATATTTGGCAGAGTTGGGAACCAAAAGAACAATAGGAGGTATAAATACATATAACGTCACATCAAACTTATCGAAAACTAGGAAAAGCAAAGAAAATAATAAGAAAAACCTCCTCTGGTCGAGTGGGATCAGAATTGACTCCTAGCACCGGAATCTTATCATCCATTAAATGGCTTGCTTGTAATAACGTACCATCCCCTCCAACCGAGATGACGAAATCGACATCATGGATGGGCTCAGATAGATCACTACGGAAGAAAGCCTTCCAGTCGACAGCTTTTTTCTCCAGAATGTTCTGGATCAAGTTAATGGCGTGCTTGTGGGCTAATGTCCTGTCGTGTAAGTATTTTAATACCTGAAATGTGCTCAGGAGGAAAATAACAATTGTAACCTGAACGGCAAAAGAAGGGTGTAGCCCAAGAAAGACGAAACTTCTAGAAAGCTTTAAACCAATCAAACGTTGGAGTTTAGATGCTATAAACCTCAATGGACAGAAAGTTAACACCAAGAAAAACAGTATTGCGTATTTTACTCACTGCCTATGAAAATTCTCATGAAAATACCACATTCATTCACTTTAACTTTTTACTCCCACCTATCATTATGCTCATTTCTTTCAACAAGACCATCAAATTTGGGGTTATGATAGCTAGCACAACACGAAACACGAACACAACACGGCACGATTCTAAAACACGATTACAGAGACAAATGGCATGACACGAAATGCACAAAATCAAAAATTTAGTTAAATTTGGACTTATTATATTTATGATCAAACAAAAAAGATAACACGAAAGCAGAAACACGAACATGAACACGATATGGCCAGATGATTTGTCACCTCTACATCAAATTAACTAATCATTCATATCACTGGTTCGTTTCATCAGATCAACTGCTCCCATAAATCTCCAACAACAATCTCAAAGCCCATTAGTCTTGATCACCATTCTCCAGCAGAAACAGAAAATGGAAAAGAATAATAAAAACCCCAAAGGAAGATAGTCTAGTTACACTCTAATTCGCTCCCCTAGAGTCAAATTCTTCAGATAATCCCAGAAAACTATGTCACTCAGAACAAAAGCTNCCTCCCATAACAAAAGTACGCCTCAAAACCGAAAAAGAAAACGCAAAATAAGCCACAAAATTACGACTTTCCTGACAACACGAGTCTTTCTGACATATTATCAAGCAGATTATGTGCATTCAAACGTCAAAACACAAAGTTGGCTACTCGGCAAACAATCAACAAATCGACCGATAAATACAAAAATCAGGTACCTTGCGGCGGTTGGAGGAGACGGAGTGAACAGAGGACGACCCACGAGAAGGGTACACGTCAGATGGCTTCAACAGCATCAGCAATCTCTTTCGCACCATTTTTACTGTTTTTTCCTTTCTTCCTGTTCTTTCACAGAAGCTCGAATGAGCGGGACGGGTTTATAGAATTTGATCCGATTAAATGGGCGGATTACATGGCGTCTTTTATAAATTGGGCTTCGGCCCAATTATAATTCTGGGCTTTGTTTCTGGTTAATGCATGCATATTGAAATTTAGTTCGGGTTAAACAATGATCAATTGTCAAAAAATTAGAATAGATTCAGAAAGCCCAATAATCTGGCCCATATCCATACAATGTGCATGATGCACTGGCTCTAAATTTTTTATAGTTCAGTTCGTTATTACTCAAGTTCGACTAGTTAACATTGATAAACGAGTCGTTCTTGAACACAACCATTAAATTGTTCAGTTAACGAGTTGAGCTCAACTCAACTCAATAATTGCTCGAGCTAGATCTCAAATATCATGAGCTCGAGTTTATTGTTTGCAGAATAACACAATATTCTTCTAAACCAATAATAATTTATAATTATTATTTTTTATTTGTCCAAGTTTTGAGATAATTGAAAGAAACCAGTAATTGTGTTTCTTCTTTTAACTAATTGATTATTATCCTATTAACAAATCTTAAGTGGAGGAATCTAAGAATATCTTGACAAGTTGGATATGAAAATATGACTTTTAAGAAAATGTGAAACAAACGTGTATCCACCCATCTAATTTTCCAGTTGTCCAACCACAAGATTTGTCGGCAGTATGGTCTTTTTGGATTNAGAAATTCCTCACCAATCAATGAGATGCATCTTTCCACCAATTAAATAAAATCCCAAATGTGAACAAGAACAAAAACGTCAACAACAATAAATTCAAAAGAAAAAATTGTACACCCAGCTCACAATTGCAAGAAGATACTCACAAGCACAGCTCAACCAGAAGTGCTTTTATCATCATGCTAAGAACCAACCCCACCTGCGTAGACTATAAGAAAGAAATGAAGACAAGAAAATGACAGTACAGTACACCAAAGTACCATAACTGAGGCTACCAAAAGTAAAAATACACATAACAACATCTCCCAAATCGACTAAAAGACCTCGAACGCTCACTTGGCCACGGGAGCAGTTTTCCTGTTGGGCTCGAAAACATATTTAACAAGCGACTCCTTGATCGACAGCAGCTCGGGAAATTCCTTCTTCAGCTTCGATGCATCCATCTCGTTATTACTCCTTGGGGCAACTATGACTTTCGCTTGCTCCTCCAAAGTGAAGTTGCTCCACTTGAAACCCGGGTCCATGTACTCTTTGTACATCTCCAGGATCTCATTATGGCTAACGACACCCGGGTTAGTAAAGTTCCATATGCCCCTAAGGTCCCGTTTGGCCATCTCGACTGAGATTGGAAGGAGCTCGTCTAGGATAGTCATGCTGTTTGGGATGTTCACCACTTTGTTGTAACGGGAGATTTTCGTGATGAAATTGCGTGGGTTGCTGAGGTCGGAGGATATCGGCATGCGGACTCTGAGCGTGCACACGTTATCGTATTCTTTCAAAAGCTCCTCCACCTGATTAAAGAATGCATTTTTACTCATGTACTCAATTCATACTCAAAATTTAACTCAACTTTAATCCAACCCCCCACTGTCATTAATATTATCAATATAATTAAATAATATTAATCAACTTTAATTCACTATTCATCCACTCTCACATAATTTTAAAATCATCACTTCATATCATCTCTCTCTTTTATACTGTAGCATCAAATCAACTTTAATTAATTTAATAGAAACTCAAAATCCCACAAATAACTAACGATAACAACTTTTTTTTTTCAAAATTAATATAACAACAACATACCCAGTATATTCCCAACAGGTTGGGGTCTGGAAGGTCAGTTGTACGCAGACCTTACCCTTGTAATTATACAAGGAGGTTGTTTCCATAGCGACCCAAAGTGCATTGCGCCGTTTGATATATATTTTTTTTCTAGAAACTTCACTAACAGAAGAAGTACTAGAATTTAATTGAGCCATTTTGATCTAGTCCATTATTAGCACTATGCCAGGAGAATTGTCAACAATGACTCTTCCAGCTCCATTTGCAATGGACAAATTTTTCAAAATTAATACTAGTTAAAAAAAAATCATTTTGAGCGGATTAATTTGTAAACAAAACGATAAAATTTTGTAATTACCATGGCTTTGGTCTTGGAATAGAAAGAACCGGTAAAATTCGGCTTGTCTTCCTCCTTAAACCCGATCCCTGAACCTTCCGGATGATCGGCATCATACTCGAATATGCATCCCGTGGCGTAGTTCATCACCAGCAATCCTTGATCCCTACAAACATCCGCCAGAGTCAACGTGCCCGCCACATTGGTACGAACCGTCTCAGTCTTATGAGACTCACACCAGTCCACATTGGGTCTGCCAGTCACACCAGCCGCATTGAAAACGTGCGTGGGGTTAACAGACGCAATATCAGCCAAAATCGAGGCCCGATCCTGCAGGCGCCCCTTTCCGTATTCATACGAAATCCCCTGCTTCTCGCAAATCTTCCCAAGCAGGCCACCGATCCAGCCCGTCCGTCCGTAAATCAAGAACTTGAGGCCCGTTTTCTGCGCCGACGGCCCGTTTCTCGAGTTTTGGGCCACCACCACCATCTTAGTTGGGCCGGAATTCTCCGAGGAGTTGGGCTTGGCGGGCTCGTGCTTCTCAATGCCACCTGGCATCATCAACATCCTCGGGTGAGGGATCAACGCACCCGAAACATCGCCCCACCACTCGGGATTGCTCGTGTACCACTCAATCGTCTTCCTCAGCCCTTCCTCCCAAGTGGTCTTCTCAGACCATCCCAAATTCTTCAGCTTCTGATCGTCCAGAAAGTACCTCTGATCGTTAAACGGCCTGTTATCGACAAACTCAATGCTCTTATCCGGATCCATGTCGAACAATTTGCATATATCCTTCGCAACATCGATTACCCTCCTCTCCTTCTTCGTCCCGATATTATAAACATGCCCGACCTCCCCTTTGTGAAGAACAACCTCAAATGCCTCGGCCACATCCTCACAATAAAGGTAGCTCCTCACGTTTGACCCGTCACCGTGAATCGGGAGAGTTTTCCCCCTCATCGCCAAAAGGATGAATTTTGGGATAAGCTTCTCCGGGAACTGGTTCGGGCCATATACGTTGTTCCCCCGAGTCGTGATAACCGGCAGACCATATGATCGGCCGTAAGCCATGACAAGCATCTCGGCTCCGGCTTTAGTGGCCGAGTAAGGGTTCGTCGGGAGGAGTTGAGAGGCCTCGTGGTTACCAACGACTGCATCCTCGTCCGTCTCACCGTAGACCTCGTCAGTGCTGACGTGGATAAAGCGGCGGATCTGACCCGTGACCTTGCAGGCCTCGAGGAGGACGTGGGTCCCGTATATGTTGTTCTTAGTGAACTCGAAACTGTTGCCGAATGAGTTGTCGACGTGGGTCTGGGCAGCAAAGTGCATGATGGTGTCGATGTTTTCGGTTATCAAAAGGTAGTTGACGAGGTCGGCACTCTCGATGTCTCCCTTGACGAACTTGAAGTTGGGGGAGTGGTTGGAAGGGAGGAGGTTCTTCAGGTTCGAGCAGTAGTCGAGCTTGTCGAGGACCACGATTTTGTAGTCCGGGTGGTTGCGGACGAGACGGTTCGCCACATGGGATGCTATGAATCCTGCAGCTCCTGTAATGAGGATGTTCTTCGGCGTGAATGTCGTCGACATTTTTTCGGATCGATTTCTGAAAGTAAAGGGAAAAAAAAAACAAAACAAAAAAAAGAAGGCAATTTTAGAGAGATTTGGATGATAACAATGTATTGCACAGGAATAAACAGGGCATCATCAACAATCAAAGGGGGAGAATCCAAAACAGCATTGACTTCACTGCAGATTTTCGTTATATGGAAGATCAAAATCAAACGAACTCCGGGTAGGTAGGGCCATGAAAATCAGACGATTTTCCATAAAGATCAGGGAAATTAAAACTACTGGCAACAGATAGCAATTACTGATCGGATCACTTACAAGCAGAAAGTGATGGGATCAAGCAATCAACTATCTCAACTCAGAATAACAAATTCAAGCAGCATAAAGGCAACAGACGATTAATCCACAAAAGGTCAGAAAATTAAATCTACTAGCAACATACAACAATTACTGATCGGATCAATTAAATGCATAAAAGATGGGATCAAGCAGTTATATCAAGCAATTAACTATCTCAATCAACTCAAAAGCACAAATTCAAACACCGTAAAAGCCGCAAGGACATTATCAAGCTCGACAATGAATCACTCACATTACCCACAAAAATCAAACTTCTACACCATCGATCCGCAAACGTACGAATGCACCACAAACACACAGATCCGAATAAAAAAAACCAGGAAACGGATCGAGCACACATAATCCAAAATTCATAAAGCAAAACTAAGTGAAAATGAAAATGGGATATCAGCTCACATTATTCTTCTCCAATCACGCGGATCCCTGATCCAGCGACTGAATAAAAGTGATTAGATTCCAAAGTTCCCACCCAAAGAAAGAGGATACAGGCAGAAGTGTTACGAAAGAGAAAGCTTGGGGAGAAAATTTGAAAGGGGAGAAAATTTGAAAGAGATGATTGGGAGCGAGAAGCGAGGAGGGACAAGCAAGGAGTTGAACCTATATACACACATTAAGCCTACGCTACCCCTAACGAAAACGCGCCTCGTGCAATTTTTAGGTAGCTATTGGAGAAGAAAATGTTGGATAATTTTCACTCAGTAGTTAATAG